CTCCACAGATACTGCCAGACCTGCCAAGATTTTTCAGCAATTTGTTTTTGTTTCAGATCAGTTTAAGCTTAAATGAAAATATACTAATTTTTAAAAATTTTTTATGTTGCTTAGGTTTGTGGCACTGCAACTTTATAATTGCATGTTGATGGTCATGATGATAATGTACATTCATGGTGTGTTTTTTTTTGTCCATTATCTCCTTTCTAAAAGGTGGCGATACTTGTAGTTACACAACTCTTTGACATGTTTCCCAAGCAGCAGTTCGTCATTTGTTGGTAGTAACATTAACAGTAAGTGATTGGCTGTAAACAGCATCTCTATTGAGGCGAATATTATCTTTGTCTAAAGTCGACTCCCTTCTATTTTCACTCCTTTACAGAAGAGTGATTTAGGAACTTGAATCTTCGTTGATTTGAAAGAAAATCTTATCACTGTCTTGTGTAGGTGAGTTTCAATACCACAACTGCTATACCTCAATCTCTCTGGCAGAGATCGGTTCACTCAGCACAGTTCAAGAATTAAACAAGGCATCTAATAGTTTGTGTAGAGTAATAGAGGTCTGCAGCATTGAACTAGGTTTCTTGGCCCATCCAATCTGCACCAGTCAAAAACAAGTACGTATCTAATCCAATCCGGTTTTCTATCACATGGCCTTGTATGCCTTGGCATCGCAAGTGAATATCTAAATACTCATAAAATGTTATGAGGGTTTCTGCCTCAACCACCCTTACGGGCTGAGAGTTCCAGATTCCCACCACCCTCTGGGTGATGAAATGTTCCCTTTCATTGCCTCTAAACCTGACTTTAAATCCATGACTCCTGGTCATTGATCCCTCTACCAAGGGGAAAAGTTCCTTCTCGTCTCTGCCCCTCATAATTCAATATATCAATCATATCTCCTCTGCTGTAAGGTAAACAGCCCTGGCCTACCCAATTTCTCTTCATAACTAAACACTCCAACCCAGGATGTGGAGATGCCGGTGTTGGCTTAGGGTGGACAAGGTCAGAAATCACATGGCAGCAGGTTACAGTCCAACAGATTTATTTGAAAACACAAGCTTTTGGAGCCTTGCTCCTCCCTTAGGTGTTAATGAGAGAGATGTATCAGACACAGAGTTAAGAAGTAAAAGGTCAAAGGGTCACACCACTGATGAGGATGTATTATACATACGTAAGATGCTGTTAAATCTTTAATCAGTTATAAGGTTTTAATTGATTAATATGTATATGTAAATCCCCAAATTTCTTTCAAGTCACTGCCCTGAGAGAACTAAAGGTTTTATCAGTAAAAAGAAGTGGTGACATTTCGGTCAGACAATGCATGTTAGGTGTGAGGCCTTGTTTACAATCTGTGTTTTGGTTTGGAGTCAGACTGGTTTTAGTTCTAAAGTAGGAATTTATAAAACGCCACATTGTCAATAAATTGTGTGTTTTTTGAACAAGATTGAATGTATCTGCAAATACAGATTCACTCCATAGATTTATGTCTATGGGGTGAATCTGTATTTGCAGATCTATTCTATTAAAGAGGACGCTATTTATAGACATAATTTATAGAC